GGGGTTCCTGAAAAATGCCCGAAAGTGGGTGAAGTAGTCCTGGGCACTATATTTGACTTCCATTGATCTTGTTTTTGAATTCAAGTGTGATTTGCTGTGTTGCATGATGGGTTTTGGGTCAAATCAGAAACTGGCCATTCCCCTGGAGGAACCCGGAACATACCCGGAAGGGGCCAACATGGTCCTGGGCACTATTTTTGAATTCATATGTGATTTGATGTGTCGCGTGATGGGTTGTGGACTATGTCAGAAACTGGCCACTTCCCTGGAGGTTCTCGGAATATTCCCTGAAGTGGCCAAAGTGGTCCTGGGTACTTTATTTGATAACCAGTGATCTTGTTTTTAAATTCTCATGTGATTTGATGTGTCGCGCGAAGGGTTTTAGATTAATTCAAAAACTGGCCACTTCCCTAGGGGCTCCCAGAACATGCCCTGAAGTAACCAAGGTGATCCGGTGTACTTTATTTTATTACCATTGATCTTATTTTTTGAATTCTCATGTGATTTGATGTGTCAAAAGATGGGTTTGCAATCTCCAGAACCGGTGTACCGAATCCGAAATTTACATTTTAGAACTAGTCTAAAACAAAATGTAGACCACCGGTGCAAGGGCTCGGTCTGGATCTGTTCCAAAATTTTAGATCAAATCAGCCAATTGGACCGCCGCTAAAGATCCCCTTACGTTTTGAAACCACCCAGCACAACCACTCGACTTCGGGTTATGTTCGATGGTTCAGCACCGACCGACACTGGAATTAGCATCAACCAGACCCAAATGGTGGGTCCAACGGTGCAGAACGATATAATTTCGATTTTGCTGGACTTTCGTTCGTACAAATTCGTCTTCACTGCAGACGCCCCGAAAATGTATAGGCAGGTGAGAATGCACGACGACGACATCCGTTACCAAAGTATGTTCTGGCGCGAAAACCCAGCGAGACGATTCGTGTCTACAATCTACGAACCGTTACGTACGGACTTGCTTTATGACCGTTCTTGGCAACAATGGCGCTTCGCCAGCTTGCAGAAGACGAGGGGGAAGAATACCCGCTCGCTGCTAAGGCGGTTAGAAAATCCTTCTACATTGACGACGTACTTACAGGTGCCAATACGTTGGCGGAGGCGATGGAACTCAAGAATCAAATTATCGGCTTGCTAGGGCGAGGAGGCTTCGAAGTGCACAAATTCTGTTCGAATTCAGAGATACTGCTGGCTATTGTTTCCGAGGAGAGCTGTGTGGACATAACGGATCCCACCGTCAATGCGATAATGAAGATTTTGGGGATTTCCTGGAACCCTAAAGAAGACAGTTTCACATTTTGTGTTGCGGTCTACCCTGAGTCAGATACTCTGCTGACCAAGCGAATGATTCTCAGTTAGATCTATAAAATCTTCGACCCGTTGGGGTTTTTGGGACCTGCAATAACCACTGCGAGGTTGATTATGCACGAACTTTGGGCTTTAAACATGGAGTGGGACCAACCGGTTCCGCATGCATTTGCGAAGGACGGACTATCGTGAACAACTATCCTGCTTGAACAACGTGAAGATTGCAAGATTCATTGCGACGAAGCCTGTAGTTACGAACTCTGCGGATTTGCGGATGCATCAGACTTGGCATACGGCGCCAGTCTGTATGCTCGCACGGAACGAAACGATGGAACAGTGATGATGAATATAGTGTGCAGCAAGTCACGGATTCTCCCAAGAAAGAAGAACAAACAGAAAGAAATTACAACGCCCAAAGCAGAACTACTAGCAGCCCTGTTGCTGTCTCAACTCACTGTGAAGCTATTGACGGCATCGAGAGCGTTTTCAGTTCTGTCGCATTATGGTCAGATTCACAGATAGTCCTGTGTTGGCTACAGAAATCTTCTGACTCACTGATTGTATTTGTTGGAAACCGAGTCAGGCAAATCCAGTAGCTGACTGAAGGTTTTATTTGGCAGTACATACCTTCGAAAAAAAATCCTGCTGATCTGATATCTCGTGGCATGTCGCCATCGGATCATCCAGGATGCAAGCTTTGGTGGCATGGACCGCCTAGGTTCCATAGCGCACAACCGTATCTCGAACAACCACTACCGCTATCGCAAGATGAAATACCAGAACTTCGGAGAACAGTACTTGTAACGGCACGCGGGCCGTCCAGGCTACCGACATTCGACAGAATCAGTCGGTATACTATAGTTCAGCGGTCGATGGCATATGTGATTCAGTTTTGCGATTACATTAAAAGCGGTCGAAAGCAGCTTACTAGAGGATTGCCCACAGTTTCGGAAATGCATCGAGCAGCAGTTTTGATCATCCGAATAGTTCAAATCGAAGCTTTTCACGTGGAGCTACAAGCGATAAAAGGTAATAAAGAATGCAGAATTACGTTTCAAAATTTGAATCCATTTATCGATGCGAACGACGGAGTACTGCGTGTTGGAGGACGCTTAAGGAACGCAACTGTACCGTACGAACACGGACATCCAGCACTACTTCCCGAGAAACATCCGCTCACCGTCACGCTGATACGTCATCTACATCGCGCCAATATGCATATCGGTCAGCGCAGTCTTCTTGGGGTCGTCCGGCAACAGTATTGGCCACTCAAGGCGAAGAACGTCATCCAGCAGGTGGTACGCCACTGCATACCATGCTTTCGGATGAGGCCAAAGAAATCAACTCAACTGATGGGAGAGCTTCCGGATTACCGCCTTCTCCAGTGTTCTCACACACGGGATTGGATTTTGCGGGACCCTTCAACCTTCGATCAAGTGCAACTGCAAGGAACCCGACGAGCACTAAGGGTTACGTTTGTTTATTTGTTTGCATGGCAACTCGGGCTCTCCATCGTGAAGCGGTTTCGGACCTAAGTTCGGAATCCTTCATGGCTGCGCTCCAGCGCTTTGTTAGTCGTCGTGGCCTCGTACAGAAATTATACTCCGATAACGCGACTAATTTCGAAGGCGCCAAAAATGAAATGAATCGCCTTGCCGAATTATTCCGCAGTGAGCAGCACACGCGTGCTGTGAATGAATACTGTGTACCAAGGGGAATCGAATGGTCGTTCAGTCCTCCACGTAGCCCACATTTCGGTGGGATCTGGGAGGCGGGAGTTAAATCAGTGAAATCGCACTTGAAGTTGGTTTTCGCTGAACATCGATTGACGTTCGAGGCGCTGTCTACCGTCCTTACCCAGGTAGAAGCTATTTTGAACTCCCGCTCTCTAACACCTGCTTCTGATGATCCGAATGATCTGACCGCTATCACACCGGCTCACTTCATAATAGGGAGGGAATCCCAAGCCACACCGGAATCCTTGTACGCCCACATCCCTCAAGGCAGATTGTCCCGTTTTTACAGGACATGAAACAGAACAGAAGTTCTGGAAAATGTGGATGAACGATTACCTAAACGAACTACAGAAACGCCAGCGAGATATGAAAGTCACCGAATTCAAAGTTGGAGCGATGGTCGTTATCGTTGATGAAAACGCACCGCCTCTGAAGTGGGCTCTCACCCGCATAATCGAATTGCAACCGGGCAAGGATGGGCACACACGCGTGGTGAGTTTGCGAACCGGGCACGGTACCTCTAGGAGAGCCGTTAAGAAGGTCTGTCTATTGCCACTAGACAACGAAGAGGACGACAATCCTGTGTAGGTAGCTGATGTATTGAAATTGCCAATTTCAACGCCCCTCTGGCATTAAGACAACCTACGAAGAATACAGAAACCATTACACACATCCTCACATGAACCGATTATTAGTTCAGAGTAAAATTGTCTGTTGAATCATTAACACGCGTTCTTTTGATTTCGTCCGAAGAAATTCTTTTCCACTGAAACCGAAACTCTTTCTTTACAGTCCATTTCCCGCGAGTGTCAAGGACAGTCATTTTCAAAAGACTCCACTCGATCCGAATACAAAAGCTAGTCGCTTTCGGATCGGAATCGGATGAACCTTTAGAAATCTCTTGTATCACTGTCTGTTAACTCGAAAACATATTCAAACCGTTGATCAATTCTTGTAAATAGGTAGTATATTGATTGTAACATTAACGATATTTCAAGCGTTTAAAGTCGTAACGGCCTATATAACTGCAATGATCGATTCTCTTCATCGATTTTCTCTTTTGTTAATAACTCGGTTGGATTAACATGTCTCGGTGCGTTTGAAGATGCTTTTGCTAACTAATACAACCTTCTACTAGGAATATTGCGAAGGAAAAAAAAAACGGTAAATTGGTTCACTTAACTGTAGCAAAGCAAAGAGAATATCGATGAAGAGAATCGATCATCGCAGCTAGGCCCTCCAAACCTTCATAAGTGCAACGTAACGGTAATTTTTACTAGATAGAATTGGCATGAGTAAAGGTTGACAATCACATTGTCGGAGTTTGCAAAAATAGTTACAATACATAAACAGTGAATGTACAATTATGAACAAAATGCCTAGACCATTATAAAAACTGAAAATTCACAAATCCCAACAGATTTTCGTTGAAGTTTCATACTTTTGAATAACTTATTCATTATTATAGGTGCACTGCAAATAAAGACGTCAAAGGCGAAGCAACGAATTAAGAATACTTAAACAACTAATCATTACAGCAGCAGAGAAATGCATACGGTTTACAACAAAAGCTGAAAACTTACGACATAAGCATCGAATCGCATCAATACCCACTGGAAACACCTCTCCAATTAGTTCTCGAACCAAGATCTGTCGTTGGTAATTTGGAATGCAATAGAAATCAAATAAAACTGAACACAAGTTTTCACACGATTCATCACTGATCAATCCTTTATTTCAAGTTTACGGAACGGTTCTCTTACAGTAAACTTGGGTAAGAATAATTGTAGACGCTTTTCCAGCGAATGACTGCTACACAATTAGGTATTTTTTTGAAATGACGGTATACAACAGCCGCGACTGTACCATCAAGTCAAGTCATCTAAATCATAAGATTTCAAAGCAAAACTCCTCTGTCTCTGTGATTCTACTGACCTCCATATTCTCCGAGTAACTGTTGCTGCTGCTGCCGACTGATGGGCTGCAGCTGAAGTTGTTGCATCTGTTGCTGCAGCTGCTGCTGCAACTGCATCTGCTGTTGTTGGTACTTTTGTAGGAACAAACTCGTCTCGATATCGTTCAGGGCAAGCAAATTTGCAGAGTCCCCGGCGGTACCACTGCTGGTAGCATTAGACGTCACACCGGTTGCCGCCTCACTACTGATGGTAGACCCTACCGGAGACATTAGCAGTGGGTGGGTCGCTTGGGTTGGGTGGCTAAAGCCGGAAGATGTCATGGAACTACTTCCCGCTGCCGGTATTCGTGTAATTTCAATATCATTGGACAGATTTTGGCTCTGCTGGCGCAAGAACTTTGACTCGTTGATGTTGTGAATGGTAACCTGGTTGTGGGATAGATGGCGTTTAAAAATTGTTGATGGACTGTTAGGCTCTCGCATGCTTACCTCACTATTCAAACGCTGACCGGGCTGCAGGTTCTGCAGGAAAGACAAATCATCATATTTATGATTCGTGGAAGAAGAACCCGCACCCAATCCATCGTAGAAGGGACCACCACCTGGCGACTCATCACAACAGTGTCCACCGCTGCAGGATCCAACACTAACGGAGGAACTATTTCCTCCGAATAATCTCCTGCAGCTGTGCTCATTGCCCACCGACATGGCTGCGGCCGCTTGCGCCCGTGCCTGTGACCTTTCGGAGCCGATTGCACTCACGGTCGATGATGGCGAACTCATTGGGAAATAACTGGTCGAAGGATTCGGAGTGCTACCACCATATTCTTGGCTACCACTCAGTCCGTACTGTAGGCTTTCAAACGGTGAGTAACATCGTTGAGGTTGACCGGTTCCGGTAACAGCTGACAGTGGATTGTACAGGTTAATGCCGCCATCCGCTGGTGAACCTACTCCGTTCAATTGTTGCCACGAACTCTGGTGATGGTGGTGGTGGTGATGATGTTGGTGCTGCTGCTGCTGCTGCTGTTGTTGTTGTTGTTGTTGCTGCTGCTGCTGCTTTTGTTTTTGGGCATTTTTCATCTCACTGCCAATGGCCGTGTTGCACTTCCGTGGAGGTTCAATCGTGGCCGAGAATGGCTGAAAACAGAAATCATGGAAAAAAAATATTATTTCAAATAAGTTACAAACTCCAAACAATGATATTTTTTCATTCGACGGTTCGCTTCGCAAGGAGGATTAGACTTATGGAACACTTATAGCGAATTTGTTTATTATCGGGGTTGGAACCAGTTCCAACCCAGTGCGAAACCGAACTTTTTGTCAGTGCGAACCTTAACCTGAGGTAGGTTTTAAAAACAAACGATCAAACTGACGTTTGTCAGGAAGCAAGCAGAGTCGATCTTGATACCCGATCCAGGTTGGAACTGAATAATAAACAAATTCGCTATTAGTTTGTTTCATTCTTTTATTTACCTAGTTAGGCTTAAAAAAACTCTACGAAGCCACATCGAATAAATTTATAAAAAAAAAACAAGTAACCCAGTGTACTGTATTAGCTAACAGACACTCAGTCCGCATCGTGCTCTCTTGCCGTGCGGATCTATTTGCTTTTTGCTGAAGGAAGTGTTACTACTACCTAAAGCTACAACAAATTTTAACAGCACTTTTCAGTGCTCAACCTGTAAAAAATTTTCTACCTTGTTCAACTCTTATTCCTCTTCGATCCTTGTTTGGACCCTACCCGAGGTAATCCTTCTTGGATATCGATTTGGAAAATTCCTCTTCGATCCTTCAGATTCTTATAGTAATCTGCTTGGAAGTCGATTTGGATAAAAATTTACTGCCGCCATGGCGCCTAAACGCAAAAGAAAGGGGCAAACTCTTGACCCCCCTTCTGATGAAATTAATTTGAGTAATCAATTTGATTTGCTCACGGATGATGAGAATGATCCATCATCCAAGAAAAATTCTAGTAAACTTTCCCGGCTTAATGCCAAGAAGGAAAAGATTCCCCCTATTGTGATAACCACTACCGATTTCCATGCTCTTCGCATGGAACTTTTGAATTTCGTGAAAGTTAAGTTTTCACTACAAATTGGACGTCGGGGTGAATGCCGTGTATTGGCTGAAACCTTGGACGGATTTAAATGTCTTCTCAAGTATCTTACTGAGAAGAAGCACAAATTTTTTACTTACGACACCAAAACTGAACGTGTGTTCAAGGTTGTCATGAAAGGACTGCCCAGTGGTGAATCCCTGGATCAGATCAAAGATGAACTGGCAAAATTACTTGGAGTTGTGCCACTCCAAGTAATCAAAATGAAAATGAAATCCCGTCCTGGCGATTCGCGCAACGGGATTTCTAATGATTTTTATTTAGTTCACTTCAAGTCTAGTGAACTAAACAACCTTAAGGCCTTAGAAAAAGCTAGCCTTATGCTCCATGTCCGAGTGAAGTGGGAACACTTCAGGAAGACTGGAGGAAATTTCCAAAACCTCACCCAGTGCCGTAAGTGCCAGGGATGGGGTCACGGAACTAAAAATTGCTACATGCCAGCTAAATGCATGAATTGTGGTGATTCCTCTCACGCAAAGGACGACTGTCCTGTGAAGGAAGATCCTAAGAAATTTAAATGTTCAAATTGTGGTGAAAACCACAAATCCAATTTTTGGGAATGTAAGACTCGCAAAGCGATCCTACAATCTCGTTCTAACCGTCAGGTAAGAAACGCTCCACGTTTCCGACCAGGTACAAATTCCTCTGCTGTTAACAACGGTCAGCGAGGAACAAATTCTACATTCGTACCCGTAGGTACAAATATCTCCCCTGCTTCAAATGTTTCATCTGTACCTACTCCCCTCGCTGCTAACAATGTTCAGCGAGTTAATGGAGCTACCTATGCTGCTATTGCAGCGGGTAGAAATCAAAATACTAACCAACGTTCTAATGGAAATTTTGACAATTTTGACTTAGGAAGCATTACTGCCCCCAAAATGGAATTTTTACAGAATTCATTAATTGACATGATTTCTGATATGCTTAAATCTAACTCCATGTTTGATGCTATTCAAACTGGAGTAAAATTTGCAAATAATATTGTCATGACTTTAAAATTCAGTAATGGATTTTAAAGCATTAAATATTGTAAATTGGAATGCTCGATCTCTTAAAGATAATGAAGACGAGCTATTTAATTTTTTAAGAGTTCATAACGTGCATATTGCCGTTATAACTGAAACGTTCCTTAAACCTGCCCATAAGGTTAAGAAGGACGCAAACTACTTGATTTATAGAAATGATCGTCTTGATGGACCCTGTGGTGGCGTTGCCATCATTATTCATAGACGAATCAAACATAAAATTCTTTCTTCATTTGAAACCAAAGTTTTTGAAACTTTGGGGGTTTCTGTTGAAACAAAATTTGGACAACTTACGTTTATAGCTGCCTATTTGCCATTCCAATGCGTAGGCCAGCAAAAGAATTTTCTCAAGGGTGACCTCCAGAAACTTACCCGTCATAGGTCTAAATTCTTCATTATTGGTGATTTTAATGCAAAACACCGCTCATGGAATAATGCTCAAAGCAATTCCAATGGTAATATTCTGTTTGATGATTGTTCTGCAGGTTATTACACTATTCAATATCCAAACAGCCCAACATGCTTTTCTTCTGCAAGAAATCCCTCCACTATTGATTTGGTCTTAACTGATTCATGTCAACTTTGTAGCCAATTGGTTACCCATGCTGACTTCGGTTCTGATCACCTTCCAGTAACTTTTGAAATATCCCAAGAAATAATTTGTAATCCCAACAGCTCTACTTTCAATTACCATAGAGCTGATTGGGAGCAGTTTCGAACATTTATGGAATATAACTTCGATCCAAACATTCCTTTGCAAACCAAAGATGAAATTAATTATGCTCTTGAATCTCTGACTACTTCTATAGTTGAAGCAAGAGCTGCCTCAGTACCAAAATGCGAGGTTAAATTCGATTCAATTATAATAGACGATGATCTTCAGCTCTTGATCCGTCTTAAAAATGTCCGTAGGAGACAATATCAAAGAACACGCGATCCTGCCATGAAAGTTATCTGGCGGGATTTGCAAAAACAAATTAAAAAGCGATTCTCTGCCCTGAGGAACAAAACTTTTGAAAATAATATTTCTAAATTAGACCCGAGTTCCAAACCCTTTTGGAAACTCACAAAAATTTTGAAAAAACCTCAAAAGCCTATTCCAGCGCTTAAAGAAGGTGGTAAAATTTTGATCACAAATTTGGAAAAAGCTCAGAAACTTGCTAAGCAATTCGAGAGTTCCCATAATTTCAGTTTGGGTCTTACTAGTCCTATTGAGAATCAGGTTGCTCGGGATTTTCTGAATATTTTCTCTCGGGAAAATATTTTTGATGATTCCTGGGGGACTGATTTGGACGAAGTAAGGTCTATAACTAAAAATTTTCAAAATATGAAAGCTCCAGGTGATGATGGAATTTTCTATATCCTCATCAAAAAACTCCCAGAGAGTACCTTGTCTTTCTTGGTAAAATTATTTAACAGATGTTTCCATTTGGCATACTTTCCTGATAAATGGAAAAATGCAAAAGTTGTTCCAATTTTGAAGCCGGATAAAAATCCAGCTGAAGCTTCTAGCTACCGTCCAATAAGTTTGCTTTCTTCAATAAGTAAACTTTTTGAAAAGATAATTTTGAATAGAATGATGCTTCACATCAATACGAACTCAATTTTTGCAGATGAGCAGTTTGGATTTCGCCATGGGCATTCAACTACTCATCAACTCTTAAGAGTTAACAATTTAATTCGTTCAAACAAATCTGAAGGCCACTCAACTGGAGTTGCTCTTCTAGACATAGAAAAAGCATTCGACAGTGTTTGGCATGAAGGTTTGATTGCTAAATTGAAAAAGTTTAATTTTCCACTTTATATTATGAAATTAGTTCAAAATTATTTAACTGACAGAACTCTTCAAGTAAATTATCAAAATTCCAAATCTAATCGACTACCTGTTAGGGCAGGAGTTCCTCAGGGTAGCATTCTTGGGCCTATATTGTATAACATTTTCACTTCGGACCTCCCTGATTTGCCTCAGGGTTGCCACAAATCTTTGTTCGCTGATGACACAGGCATTTCCGCTAAAGGAAGAAGTCTTCGTGTTATTTGCAGCAGACTGCAGAAAAGTTTAGATATTTTCTCTTCTTATTTACAAAAATGGAAGATTTCTCCCAACGCTTCCAAAACTCAACTTATAATATTTCCACATAAGCCTAGAGCTTCGTTTTTGAAACCTAGTAGTAGTCACATAGTCACTATGAACGGAGTTCCAATTTCCTGGTCAAACCAAGTGAAATATCTTGGATTAATACTTGACCAAAAATTAACTTTTAAAGATCACATTGAGGGCATTCAAGCCAAATGTAACAAATATATTAAATGTTTGTATCCTCTTATAAACAGGAAATCCAAACTTTGCCTGACGAATAAACTTCTAATATTTAAACAAGTTTTTAGACCGGCCATGCTTTACGCTGTACCAATATGGTCTAGTTGCTGCACTACCAGGAAAAAAGCACTTCAAAGGATTCAGAACAAAATTCTGAAAATGATTTTGAAGTTGCCTCCCTGGTACAGTACTACCGAGGTACATAGAATTTCGAATGTTGAGACTTTAGCACAAATGTCCAACAAAATAATTAATAATTTCAGGCAAAAATCGTTGCAATCCTCAATTGCAACGATTAATTCCCTTTATACTTAGATAAGATTTAGTTTTAGTTTTTAGTTTTAAGATATCAATTGTTATACTGACATGCAGGTTAAAAAACCTGTTTAAAATACTGAATTGCCAAGACATGAACAATGTAAAAACACTTAGATATATATCATAACAATTAAGGCTGGTACGTTACTGCAGTAGCTGGAGCACCTAGGTTAAAATGAAATGTAATTTATTTTGAATTTGGAACAAATAAAGAGTTAAAAAAAAAAAAAAAAAAAAAAAAAAAAAAAAAAAAAAAAAGCTAACAGACACATTGCCGGTAATCGCAAGTCAGTCCCATCTGCATTTTTATCATTTTTGAGTTAGCATCATTATTCAGTTTATCTTTCTATGTTTTTTGAGAGATGTGCTATTGAAAAAAGGTGGATTGTTCAAGAAAAATGAAAAACAATACCAAGCCAAATTGTCCCACAGCGAAAAGTAACCGCAAGTCAGTCCCATTAGAAAAACATATGTTTGAAATGTTAGACAATACATCGAATCATGAAATTTGTCTCAAGACAGATTTTGTCCACTTCCCCTAGGGTATCTGGATCAAGTCCAGATGTGGCCAATATAGTTTTAACGATACTCAGTTTGACAGTTTCTCATGTGATTTGATGTATCCGCTTGATGGATTTTGATTTAAAAAGAGGATACCCGGAACATGTCCGGGTGTGGCCAACATGGTGCTGGTCACTCATCATAACTTTTATTGATCTTATTTTTGAATTCTCATGTGAATTGATTTATCACATGGTGGGTTTGGCACGTTTATGAAAAGCTCTGGTCTGATCAAGCCCCATACCCACCAGAATATGTTCCGGCCATTGCTCTGGAACCAGCGGAACAAATCTAGAAACATTCAATAACGTTCTATGGAACCATGGTATCTTTCTACTGTTCAATGCTGTGCTAAACTAATGCAGCATCGTCATAGAATTGTGACTGACTTGCGGTTATTTTTTTCATTGACGTTAAATGTAATCGCAAGTCAGATTTTGGCCATAAAATAAAAATTTCACGATATTTTTCCAATATTTTTTGGTAAACATAGATGCATTCTATCACATTGTACGTTTATTTTTAAATTTATCCCTCCAAAATAAGTGTAAAATCAGAAAACTTGTAAAATCTTTGAACGCCGTTTTCTCATTTCCAGTTTTTTTACAAATGGGACGGACTTGCGATTATGGGCAGTACACTGATGAAGAAAGAGCCCACTGAAACCCTTGAAGAAACTTTCAAACCAATCGAAACGTCAAATGATTTTTTTTAGCATTGCTTCTAATCGTCCCATTGGTACTTACCGGACTGACATGAGACGGTCCATCCGCCAGCAGGCTCATCTCCTTGGCCGACTGCTGTTGCTGCAGATAGTTAGCCGTGGTGACGTTACTGGTGGCCGCCGAGACCTGCGGTGGAACTATTCCGTTCTCCACCAGATAGTTGGTGTTGAACGGCCGGAATCCACTGGTCGACGGTTGCACTCCACCGGCCAGGGCCTGATGCAGTGCCGGATTGCGAATAGTGAACATACCGTTGTCATTCTTGAAAATCGTTGCCCGTTGATCGTAGCCCAGGGGATGTCGAGTACCAGCCGGTTCGGCCGCGGCTGCAGGAGTAGGCCTCGCGGAGCCACCTTGGAACATTGGATTCCGAAGGGTGACAACGTTGTTGTTTCCCTTATGGTTTTTCTGTTTACCGTCGGATTTGGACTGACCACCGTCCTTCGAGGGATCATTCTTATTTTTGTTCTTATTCTTGCGTTTGTTCTTCTTGTTGGGTTTCTTTTCGCCGTCCCCAGAAGATCCTTTAAGCTTGTTGGTATCGACCATGATAACGGCATCCTGACCCGGAGCGGAGTTCATCATTACCGGAGGAGCCATCATTGGGTTCATCATGTACATTCCGGATGAACCCATCATAACTGGCGGAGGCACCACAGGCGGTTCTGGTGGCTGAACCGGCTGCATCGGTTCACAAATCTTCTTTATCGACTCCCGTTTAGCCTTGATGGCTTCCGCTTGGGCGGCATCTACCCGCGTGAGCGTGATACCAGGTGGCAGTTGAAGCCCTTCCACTCGGATTCCACGGCTCAACTGATCCATGATGCTTGCCCCAAAGGAGGTGTCGCCCGGTGGGAAGGTGTTTGGAATTTTCGGCAGAGTGGCACTGGTACCAGTTTTGGAAGGTACCGACGACGATGAGGACGACATGTTGGAATCATGTATCAGTTCCAGCGTCGTATCGGCACTGATGTTGACCTTCGATCGGCGATCGTTCATTGCCGCCTTCGAGAGCCTATCGGCATTTTTCATCGCTTTATCGATATGCCGATTGGCGGCTGCCGGTTGATGCTGTTTCTTTTGCTGGGGCTGAGATTGTGTTGGTTTGGCTTGTTCTTGCTGCTTCATGAGAAGCTTCTTCTGGCGCTTGGAAAGGTTGGGATTATCGAGCATTGGTTTTTCGGACACTTGAGCAACGCTAGCAGCGGGCTTCTTGTTGACGTTTGGTTGTTGTGAGTTGGCAGTGTTATGAGCGTTTTTAGAAGATTTCTGAACTGGCGGTGTCGGCTGAGGTGCTAGGTTCTCTTTATTTTTAACCTGTTTGACATCCTTGGCCGGAGCTAACGCCGGAGCAATTGCATGTTCTTTTACTTTTTCGTTTTTCTTTTTGTTAGCTTTCTTGTTGCCCGTTGTAGTTGATGGCACCGGGACCGGACTGGGTGGAGTCGGTGGTCTTGGTGGCTCTTCAACCTTCGGTAGTTCAGGCACCGGAACTGGTGAAGGCGTTCGCACAGGCACAGAAACTTCTTTCTGAATCACCTCAACTACACCCACTTCAACTTCGACTTCTTCATCGGATTCGGTGTCCTCCAGGTTTAACAACTTGAATGCGTTGTTATCGAACTCCGGATCGATGTAAACCTCACTCTTCTTTCGCACCAGTTTCCTTTTCGTGTGCTTCTCTTTAGCAGAAGCTTTCTTGTCTCGCTCCTTACTGTCATCAACTTTGCTCTTGTCCTTGCTCTTTTGATCCTTCTCTTCCTTCGGCTTCTGCGTACTTCCGCTGGAGCTTATCGAGTCCTTGCTGAGCTTCCTATTCAGGATCTTTCCCAGGGCCTTCTCTGGCGTCTTTCTCAAGTCGCCCTTCTTCGACGCCCCCCCGCCGACATCCAACCCGTCCAACTTGGCAACGATTTCATCAATTTCATCGATCTCATCCGCCAACTTATCTTTCTTCTTTTTCTTTTTCTTCTTTTTCCCCTCGTCACCACTCATCGCAGCGTAGTCTTGTTCTAGCTTTTTAGTCATTTTCTGAAGCATCTGCGCAGCAGCCTTAGCCTGGGCTTCGCTCATGGAATTCTTCCCCTTGTTTCTGATCTGACCTAACCGATCGGACATCCTACCGATTAGCGTGACAATGTCATCCTTCTTCTTCTTGTCCAACGTTGCCCCACCGGTAGTCTGGTGCTGTATTTTTTGCATCAGCTCGTCAATTTCTCGTATCGACTGCGCCTGTTGATTTTGCGACTGATCCCGGAGACTAAGCTTCAGCAGCTTCTCCGTGATCCAAACATCCGTATCGCTTGAGAATTGACTTTTCGCGATCAGATCGTTGAGCTGTTTAATATCACCAGCTGCCATCTTCATGGTTAGCTGATCCAAATGGTTTTGAATTTGTTGCTTGGTGGGAGCCTGGCCCTTACCCGAAGACGAGTCCGGTGAAACAAGCTGACCATTAATAAATGTGTACAGCAGTTGATCCTGATCCGGGGAAGGTCCCTTCGCCGTAACGGTTACCTGCGGTTCCGAATGTGGCAGGAAGGTTCGCTTGATGGTGACCATACGTCGGGCAGGATCTATGCTGACATTATCCTGTGGCATCATCATCGTAGATTGCTGCTGATGCTGCTGTTGGTGTTGCTGAAGAAGCTGCTGCTGTTGTCGTTGCTTCTGTTGCTGTAGTAGATTGATATTCTGCTGTAGCTTGGGAGGAAGTTGCTGAGTTGTCTCCAGTGGCACCGCCGGAACTGGGGGAGAAGACTTCTTTCCGGTTTCTGACTTTTCCTTACCATTCTTCCTTTCACTTTGTGGAGACCCTTCATCCATTTTAAAGCTGAATTCCGGATTGTTACTCCGGATACTGGTCACCAGGCTGTTGATGTCCGTTTGTAACTGGAACTTCTTGACTTCGTAGGCTTTGATGTCATCTAGAAGCTGGTTTTTGTCCTTCTTCTTAAGATTCTGCTGAAACTGTAGCCGTTTCTGTGCTTTCTGCTCCTCCAGATGAAACTCGGAAAACTTCTGACTGAGCTCTCCAAGCTCGGTAATCTTCTTGAGCTCTTGCTTTTTGTGCTTCTGTTTCACCTTCTTTGCTGTCTTTTTGTTGTCCTTCTGCTTTTCGTCATCGTAGTCGCCTTCGATGTACCGCACCAACGCATCCAGGGTTTCCTCCACGGGTTTCGGAGCTACATTTAGGAAGGATGCTGCATTATTTGTGCTTGGCCTCAAAGTCGGCTGCACCGCGTGAGGTTGAACCGGAGGTACCTCCCGAGCACTAATAGCCATCTCCGGTGCTCTTGCCGCAATGTTCATTTTGTTCACGGGAGCCTTCGTAACTACGGGAGCCTTGGCGGCCGTAACAAGCCCAGCAGCTGTTGCCACCGGTATCTTGTTATTGCTAATCTTCAAGGCTTCCATTTTCGATGTGATTCCCGACGACGGTTCTTTGCTTACCGCTGTCGTCACCTGGTTTCCGTTGGTGTTGTTACTAGTGGTACTACTGGTGCTACTGCTACTGCTGCTGCTGCTGTTGTTGTTGTTGTTGTTATTGTTGTTGTTGTTGTTTGTGGTAGCGGTGTTGGTAGTTACCGCGTTCGTTGAGTTGCTTTTGTTGGTGTTGATTTTCTTCAGCATCGCGCTGGGTGGAATCTTGATGTTTTTCAGATTCAACGACTTCAGCTGGTTATCTTTGTTGCTCTGGAGTTGCTTGATTTTCTTTCGCAATCGATCGCGCGTTTCGTTCGTTCGCTGGTTGTGGTTGCATTCCTAGTAAGAAGAGATATGTAACTATTAGTTTTCTTGTCTGCGAGATGATAATGTAGGATGAGGTGGGGTAACATGGGGCAAGATGGGTCACAAAATGATTACATACATTCAAAAGCGAATGTCTGAATTAAACTAACTTAAATCGTGATGTAGCGTTCAGCAAAGATGTTCCTCATAGTTTAAGCTACAAGTGCTGTAATTCTGAGCTAAATCGAGTGTACTTAACCAGATTCGGACCCTGGTATATTTGACGATAGTGAATATGCTTACGATGCGCACCATATACCAATTGGAGGCACCATATTCGACGCAGGTCCAAACTCGATGGACAAGTATTTCGCGAAATAGCTCCCAATAATCAACCACTAGTGTTTTATTAACACTCAACCTTTGCATTCGTCACGAAAAAATTTCTATGGATAGCCTTATTTGGCCAATATATGAGCGAGAGAAAAATTGCACAACAATTATCATAAGAAGTATTTAGTACATCATCCCAACTTTATGTAGTATGGTCGTACCATCTATGATATCGTTAGAGTATGGTACCCGTTTATTACCGCATGCGTGATAATGTTTGCACCATCGTACAAATAAGGTTCCCGTTTCACCTGTGCATACAATGCCTTGGCTTTCTTTGCATGCACGTAACCTATAGCTCATACCGTAGTAGGCTGTGTATAAAAGAAAATGATTTACTTAGTTTGACAGTTGCAGCATGACGAAGTGGCAGCGTATTCGTGATTTGTCCCACGCGCAAATGTCGCAAAAAGACATTTCAATCGCCGTGGGAGTGTTTTGGTGGACCGTCAAAAGGGGTTTAGACCGAGAAAAGAAAGGACAACTATCCGCGAAGGTGGCCACAGGTCGTCCGAGGTCAGCTCGGGTTCCGCGGGATATCGCTGCTATCAAAAGGAATATTCGGGTGAATCCAGTGCGTTCAATAAGGAAAATGGCAAAGGAACACGGGATCAGTGACTTTACGGCACGGAAGATCGTAAAGGAAGATTGCGGGGCGAATTCGAGGGCACGGAAATTAAATTCACATGACCGCAACCGCATCCGGGAGCTACGAGTCGAACGATACAAGAAAATCTTGAACTTCCTTAAGAGAAAAAATTCGGTAATCCTGTTCACTGACGAGAGCATGTTTACCGTCGATCCCGTATCAAATTCCAGAACCGACCGGTATATTAGTTCTCTTCCGGTAAAAGACGTGGCCGACGAGCACAAGAACCTGTATCTGACCAAGCATCCTGCTAGCGTTATAGTGTTTGGATTAGTGGCTTCGGGATTCGGGATTTTAAGTAAGTATGTTCTTCCGTGGATCAAAGAACAGTACGGTCCGAAGCCAAATGTTGTATTTCAACAAGATGGGGCTCCGTGCCACACCTCGAACCGCACTCAGAAGTGGTTGCAGGAACATCTTCCGTTCTGGGCGAAGGATATGTGGCCGCCATCCAGCCCCGATCTTAATCCGCTGGATTACTCAATATGGCGCGTCATGAAGGCCAAGGCCTGTTCTAAACACCACCCGAGTACAGCAAGCCTCAGACAAACATTGACCCGTACCTGGAGTGAAATGGATCCAGACTACATTATTAGAACCTGCCGTGCATTCCGGAAGCGTGTGGAGGCCGTAATTACAGCAAGTGGAAACTCGATCGACGGTTAACATAGTTTAAGACTCTGAGAAACATCCCGTTTTTAAATAAATAAAAAAAAACTCGAAAACGAAATTTTAGAGAATTTTTTAATTTTGACATTGCCTAATGGTGCAAACATTATCACGCATACGGTAGGGTGGTCAAATGCGTCAAATTTCTTCTGCCTTAACAAAGAAGCTAAGAAGTTGGTTGATCAGTTGTTCTCGGCTGACTATATTAATGCAATTTTGTCAAGTTTTTGCAAGGTTATATTAGATATGATGTTTGTGTCAAATTAGGCTCATAGTGTTCCTAATTATTCAACCCAAAATATAGAATCCGAAACCATCACGATCTCTCCTGTTCCTGGACCTTCCGAGTTCTCAACTTCCATCTCCGGACTAGACCCAGTATGCTGATTCAGAATTGAATGCCGCGTTGTGAATTAGAACGCTGGGAGACCTCGAACCACTCGATCCAGTCGTTCTATTTCCTGCCATCAGTGTCGTTCTGGACCTGCGGTCGAGTTCGGTGGTGGGGTCTCCCAACCATCGTCTTCAGGCAAGTTACAGAAATTTTCCTGATCAGCTTCCGTGTTCCAGTGCAACGTCTCAAGCATCTGCCGGCTGTTTCCAGTTGAGAAGCACTTCTGATACTGCTCATTCACAACATCCGCTTTACTGTTCGAACAATCCTAATTCATCTCCGGGACGCTCAATAGACCGCCTTTTTTTTAAGCTCCTGGTTCCCAGTCGTGCCGATTCCTACCAGCGCTCAGCATATCCGTCCTGGACCTGTGGCTCGATATGAATCAGGAGTCTTCTACCTTGCTTCGACAGGCAAGTACAATCAATATACTGACTATTCACTGCCTGATGCCGATCAAATTTTCAGCAATTTGGAATATGTTAGTCATTGTGATGATCCCTCCTTCTCAGTCCTGCCATCAGCAGCCTTCGTTCGTCATAGTCGTTCCGGACCCGCTGTTGGATGTTGAGAGGGGGGTCTTCCAACCCACTCACTATAGCGAGTATTCAATCAGACTTGATGATGGTCAATTATGGCCTGATGTATCTGTGATTTCCAGGAAGAACAGTCGTTCGATTCCTTGCCGCAAGCAGGACGTCGTGATCTTCTACCAAAACGCCGATGGAATGAATTCTGAGGTTGAAGAGTTCCGCTTAGCTGTATCGGATCGTTGCTAAGATGTAATTGTCCTGTGCAAAACGTGGCTCGATTTTCGAACGCTTTCCAGTCAAGTCTTCGGTCCTGACTAAGAGGTCTTTCGTTGCGATCGGAAACCTAGCAACAGTCGTAAATCTACTGGTGGAGGTGTCCTTGTAGCTGTCCGTGGCGGGGTGGAGACAAAGGCCATCGAGAACGGTTCATGGAACTTTGTGGAGCAGGTTTGGACAGCCATCAATCTGGGTGATCGCACACTATTTCTATGCGCTTTGTACAGACGAAAGAGCTTCGTTGGTTGAAGCCAATCAAGAGAGCAGCATTGAGAAGATTTACGAAGTATCGAACGGTTAATTTGAAACTACATTATATGAGGCTGAATCACATATACCAGCGAGTCAGTCGTAAATGCTTTTCAAGTTTTCAACGAGGCACCTAGCGCAAACTTAAGCTACACCCGAAATCCTTTTGGAACTACGTGAACGAGCAACGCTAGGAGTTCGGCCCCCTATGAAATTCAACGGAAAAGTTGCTGCCACCGTTCAGAATATATGTCGCCTTTTTTTTCGACAAGTGTATTCACTAATGAAATACTAACTGACGACCATGTTACTCTGGCTACCAGGAACGGTTCATATATTATTATTTGACGTGATTTTGAGTCGTAGGCTAGTTCATCACGTTATAAAACCGATGGTCTTTTTCTTCTTTTTCTTCTTCTTCTTTTCCTTTATTTAACATCGGTCTCTGTTCCGCAATCTAGTGCCAATCACCGACGGACATCGATTGCCATCCATTGACGGCAACCGAATGTGCAGGAAGGCAGCTTCCACACCTGCGTAGGATATCGCACCCATTCACAACAACACACATGGGCCGGGACCAACGGCTTTACTTCCCTTCCGAAGGAAGACGTGATCAGAGATTTTCATGCCTCAGAAAAATCCCACCGACCTCGGCTGGGATTGAACCCAGACCCATTGGGGTATTAGAAAGCAGTCACGCTTACCACGACATCACCGGCGTCGGCTAGCAGATGGTCAGGCTAGATCCTGCCTCAAAAAAATAGGTTTCCATTTTGTCACTAACGTGACGAATAACTGGTTTTGAATACCCAACGAATGAGACAGACAACATTTTAAAAACTTAATGTAAAGTGAGGATTACATCGGGGTTGTGGTGCGCGAATAAGGTAGAGCTCCACCGTAGGAGACAGTGCCTCGTATGGCGGAGAAACCCCGACGACAGAAATAATAGAAAGGTGAGTAAAACACGATCAGTGCACCCACCGACGGGGGGCTAGATTTGATTATACAAATGGGCGTCCTTGCACCGAGGCGGGGATGCTGCAAATTGAACAAACCTTGCGGAAAGGTGTCCCACCGAAACTACAGGAAATCCTCGCATGGCCAGTCTGGAGTCTTGAGATAATCCGTTGGTCCTTGTATTTTTGGCTGTCCAGCCAGGGGCGTACGGTTTCCTTGATCTTCCTCAGGAAAGTGGTCAGCGACTGGAACCATTCCTGCTGCCAGGCTTCCATAATAGTATTCACAATCCAACGCCTGACGTCTAGGAGGGGTATGTCCCTGGTGTAGCTGGGACGAGATGCACCGGATCCCGCCAGTCTGTACGCAGCCTCGTTTCCGGGAAGACCGCAGTGTCCGGGGATCCACGTGAAGACTGTTGAAGGTGGGGCGTACCGTGTAATGGTTTGTATCCAGGGGTGGCTCGGGGATTCGGCTACTAGCGCTTGAATGACGCTGTATGAGTCAGTTAACACGAGGATCGGTTGATCTGCCGAAGTTATGGCTACGTCTGGAATAGCTGCGGATTCAGCGAAAAAGACTGAACACTTTTCCGGTAGACTTTGACTCATTGCAGTATTCGGTCCTGCCACTCCGAGTTCAACTCCAGCCCGCGACCGCGATCCGTCCGTAAAACGATGAACGTGCCCCGGATAAACCGACCCGAGAAGCTCTGCAACAGAACGTCTCAAAGTTACAGAGTTATCTCCGGCTTGGATTACACTCTTAATCCGCTTATCTATTTTGACGACGTTTGATCGCCAACTCTTCTCTCCATGCCAGTGGACCCTGGCCACCGGGGGGAGGTCACGGTTGACTGCAGTGCGGAGGGCTCTGTTCCCCTCGTTGAGACCCTTTCGTTCCCGGA